AACATGCGTTTCTGCTTAGCCTGCTCTTCCACTGTCCAGGACAGTTTTTACGTCTCACTCTTCATATCTCAAGACTGAATTCATACATTTGCTGCTCTAGGAAAATCTTTCTGACGCTGTACCAACTCTGCAGTGTACCCTGTGCTTGTCTCTGGCACTGCACTTAAAGTGCAGTCTTATATTTTTACTTTATAGATTCAACAACACACAAACAAAAGCAAACATATTTCGCATGCAGCATGGCCCCTCCATGGGAGCCAAGTTCTTCATCTGGTGCTTAGCTGAGGAAATTACGATCTGTTTCCATGCTACGGGTGTGTGATCACACTGCATGTGAGAACTGTACTGAGTCATTACAGTTTATTTTATGGAGTTGCAGGACTCAGTTTGCAAAAAGCAGGACACATCCTGTTTTAAGCAGGATTAAATGTGATACAGGAATAGAAGTACTATACACTTCTGAGAATTTCCAAGGTGGAATGCTGAATTTTCCAGAAGTTCCAGAGGCCAGGCTGCTGCTCTTTCTTACAGAGGTGTGATTAGGATTCCACTTCTAAGAGTGTAGTGCTTATAGGTAACAGAGGAAACCCCGAGTAAGTCAAGCCCTGAGTGTAAGTGTACTATGGACATGGACACACACATGATAAAGACCAAGGCCTTTGGCCCATAGCAAATTGTCAAAGTTTTCCTGCTATGGGCCCAAACTCAAGAGATATGGCGAAGCTTTCCTCAGGATCCTAGTGTGAGTGAGTGATCAGTGTATAGAAACACTAGCAACAGTAGCTTCCTCCTCCCAGATGTTTACAATCTAAGACTGCTCCTCCAGGGACCACCTATGGAGACTAGCCAACACCTACCTGCCCCTGTACTGTACCAAATAAACATGCTAAGTCTTGTTGCATGGTGTAGTAGGTGCCACTCCATCAGAGCATGCACACCCCACTTGACTCCAGTACATTGCCACTTGTAGTCAGGATTCTCAGCAGTTCATATCGAGAAGCCACTGAGTGATTTAAGTAGAGGAATTATTGGATGAGTTTTACATTTACAATGATTATTTTCATTGCCATGTGAAATATGGGTTTGAGGCAAGAAAAGACAGGTTAAGGAGAAAACTTGCCTGGAAATAAATTATGTGGGTTCAGGCAAGATATGGGGGTGACTTAAATTGGAAAAGGATGGAGAGAGGTGGCAGGGTTAAGTAGATTTAGTGACTGGTTATTTTGGCGGGGGTGGGGGAGGTAAGGGAGACACTGAGGGAGAAGGAAGTGCTTCGGATGGCTCTGTCTGGAACTTGGGGAAGGGTGATGGTACCATTTACAATGACAGGAAACCCTAGGGGCCAAGTGGTATTTGAGCAAGGCGAATGACGGAAAACCTGTGCCCTTTGCGCTTTTCTTGAGTCAACAGATGACTTTGACTTTCTCTTATTCAGTGATCCTTAGCCATGAACAGTCTCTCAACTTTCCCATAGGGGACCTTTCCTTTGGCAATGTCACAATCAAAAATGTCATTATTTCAAAAGTGGGTGGGTGGCTTTGCCCTTGGCATCTATTAGGTAAAGAACCGGGATGTTGCTCAGTACCCCACAATGCACAGGAATGTCACCTGAAACAAAGAATTACAAGTGCAAAATGTCAAAAGGACTGATGTTGAAAAATGTGCTCTAATTACTTCCTCCTCTCACTTCTGTCTGCCATAATAGTCTTATGTCAATAAATCAGAGCTCTTGAGAATTTGAACATGCTTAGAATTGAATCTCCGTCAGTCTTCTTCCTCTTTGGTAGGGGTCCCCCACCCGCTGTAGTCTCTCATTGCATGTTAATCATTCTCTCCCCACATGCATTAGTATTGGACCTCGGAGACTCAGGCTGGCCTTTAAGTGCCCCTATGAGAACATACGGGGAGAAATTTTTTAGATGTCACAATTCCACTTTTTTCTTACTTAATTTCACAGTTCTAAATTTGGAATTAAAATTTCATTCCATTTAGACAATACTTCAAAAGAGTGATAAATGTTATTCTAATATATTTTGAATATTGGTGGGCAAAATGCTGATTTTATTGAAATAATTGAATTTTGACTTATTTTTCTTTTTAAAAGTACATGACAACTAAATAACCCATGTTTTTCAAGGAAGATTAAGTTAGCCAGTTATTCCAGATTCTTAGCCAGGGGGAGTATCTCAACCTTCCCATAGGGGACTTTTGGCAATGTCTGAATACATTATTTGATTGTCACTACTTCAAGTGTGGGTGTGTGTTCCAGGTGGGCCAGCCTGGAACAAAGCAACCTCCCCCTCAAGAAACCCCAAACCAAACCATAATGCCCCCCAAAAAGAAAATTTGTTCTTCAAAGGAAAGTTTTAGAAAATATCAGACTTCCTTTTACTTTTGAGAGATTTATTGAATCTCAAGTTAAATTGTTGTGGAAATATAAATATGTTATAATTTAATAATTATCATAATTAAGAACCTATCACAAGCCGAGCATTGGTGGTGCACCCCTTTAATCCTAGCACTTGGGAGGCAGAGGTAGGTGGATCTCTGTGAGTTCAAAGCCAGCCTGGTCTACAGAGAGAGCTCCAGGACAGGCTCCAAAGCAATACAGAGAAGCCCTATCTCAAAAAAAAAAACCCAAAAAACCGAAAAAAAATAAAAAAGAAAAGAAAAGAAAAGAAAAAAAGAAGGAAAAACAAACAAAAAAAAAGAACCTATCCCAGTCAAGGTCTATATTTAGTATCCAGCCCATCCATTGATGGACATAACAAGCTAATTGGGCTTGTCACCCAGGGTAGACTCAGTTGTTGTTTCCAACAAATCTTACTGAGTGCATACTATTCCTGGCTGCTGCTCTTGGGAAATGTATCAGTAGACAAATTATACCCTCATGGATCTTGCCCCATAAAGTCAGATCTCCCTTACAGATGATGGTATCAAGGGGATTTCATTCCTAAATCGCAGGGTAATAGAGTAAAGTGGAACCCCCTACTATTTATAAGCTAATCAACAGTGATTTCCATTAGGAAGTAGTAATTAATGAGAACTGAGTAAGTTAGCTGTGCACAGTGTGGAGGGACCAACACTCCTGGCAGAGCATATGTAACACCCTCAGGCAAAGCTTGCCTTATTTTACTCAGGAAACACACAGAAGGATTTGAGATTTAACACTTCATGCTTGAGAAGCCATCCAATAGCTTAAGTAGCAAAATTATTTGATGAGATTAACATTTAAAATGATTATTTTTACTGCCATCTGAAAAATGGGCTGAGGTTGAAGGAAAGGTAGTCTAGGGAGAAAACATTTTAGAAAATAGATTATGAGGGTCCAGGCAAGAGATGAGAGTGACTGAAATTGGAAAAGGATAGAAAGAGGAGGCAGGGCCAAGGAGAGTTGGTGATTAACTGTTTTGGCAGGGGTGGGGGAGGTAAGGGAGTACTGAAGGAGAAGGAAGTGCTTAGAATGACGCTGGCTGGGACATGGGGAAGGGTGCTGGAACCATAGAGGACAGGCAGTTTTTGTTCAAGTTACCTATAGATAATAATTTTTTTGAGAGTACCCCATATTAAAAATTCTTAAAACACATTCAAGTATGGTATGCAGAGCTACTGCAAACATTTGGAACTGTGCATATGCAACTTAGAAGACTGGTCTAGGCTAAAGAAAGGATATTGGAAGGCCATCTGTAGATGGCATTTGAAGATATGAGAGAAGAGGAGATTTCTTTGGAAGAGAAAGTAGAAAGAGCTCCCTGCAGGCTCAAGGCATGAGGAAGGAAACATGGAAGGCTGAGCAGAGAGGACGTTTGCAAAGAAGCCCGATAGATGTTACAAGATAAACAAGGGAAGTATGTGTATGCATAAGCCTCTTTTTTGCCAAGGAGGAAAAAGATTACTAGAATTCCCCCAACAGATCTCTGCTCATGCCTTGGACGTGAAGATGAATGGAGTCTAGGAGAGAATGCGTGTAACTGGAGATTGGTAGAAGAGTACAAGAAACCACCTTTGTGTAGTGCAACTGAGACTATTACTCAACAATAGCAGGGAAAGGAGGCATGGTAAAGGGACAGAAGTGCTTAGAGGGACTGAGTTCATTGAACCATAGAGTAGAAGCAATGGAAGCCATGGCCAGGGCCTTAGGCAGAATTGCCAGAAGTTATCATGCAGAAATAGATAGGAAATACCAGGATGGCATCTGAAGATAAAGTAACGTGAAAGCTGCAAGGAAACTGTCTCTCTGTGGTCTCATATGATCTCTGGACTTACCTTTCCTGCTTTATCCACTAACACATTATTAAGAACTTAACATAGATAGCACAGTGCCAGTGGTAACCAACATAATGGCCAAAATGAAGTGTAAGAACGTGGTGAGAAAAGAAAACACTTAATGGAATGACTTTGCCTTCCATTCTGTATTTCCAAAACATACAACTAATAAAGGGGTAATATGAAAGTGAGGAAATCAACACTAAGACCACAAATTAAAAAATGGGCAAAGGTCTTTCATGCATTTCTCAAAATCAGGTATACAAAAGGCTAAGAAGCATATGGAAAAACTCATTGAAATTTCTGCTCACACCAGTTAGAATGGATACGGTCACAAAGACAAGTGTCAGCAAGGATGCGGGGACAAGGTAAATTTGCACACTATTAGTATGAATGTAGATCTGCAAAGTCATTGTGGAAAACAGCTGAATGCTCTAAAAGATAGAATTACCACTAGAACATTGAGATCCAAAGCAATGGAGAGAGTACATTTCAAAATATGGTAAGAAATCGCAGTGGTGAATATGTGGATTAGCTTGATCCAGCTATTCAACCTTGAGTATACATCAAAACATTACCAAATAAAAGATACAATCATAATTCAACTAAACATTAAACCAATTAAAAAAGAGTCTATAGTGAGATAAAACCAAGATGACAGAAATAGGAATGATCAATTTTGTTTCATGGGTATTAGGACTGACTTGGCTTATTAAAATGGTTACTTTTCACAGGCTCAGAGGAGAACACACCCTGTTCATGCCTTTCCAATGTCTGTCCCTGAAAGGAAGACCTGTTTACAAGAAACTTACACAATAGAAGAATTGGGGGTGGAAATATGTTTTAAAGCTTTGTCAACAGAAGCCCTTATCCAACTGCAGGACACCCTGGTGACAGTAGTATCAGGAGCAGCCCAGCTTGTCACTCCCATGAACGACTTTCTTGTCCTTAAAGGATATTTTGTACTTGCAGTTATTGAGGGATCTGAATGCTTTCGGAAATTTCATTCCTGATTAAAAATTCCATTTGTCTCTGAGCAGAGCTTGTTTTTAATAAAGTGACAGAGAATGAACCTACCTAGTGCTTTGCCTCATTCAGATGAGTCACAGTGAATTGAATCTCTACAGTTTTTGTTCAGTCTTCTTTAGTGTGCTTAGTCATGCACTATTCCCAAAGTTATAAGTATGTTGAAATTAATTTTACAAATGTGAATATTCAAAACTTCGTTTTTTGTTTTAAATCAAGTGCGATGTGGAGCTAAGCAAGCTATCTTATCTCAGATTTAGTAATTTAACCAAATCTGAATTTTTTGGATAATTATTCAACAGTTTTTTTTTTACTTTCTCGCACTTCATTGTTGCAGATGACAGAGTTATAATCAGTGTTTCTATAAAACATTCTCATTCTAAAAGTCATTTTCAGTGAACTACAAAACCACCAAAAAGGCTCTTCTATCTTTCCTCAGAAAAATTTGAAAGTTAATTTGTTTGAAACCACAAAGGGACCAAAATATTAGAACAAATAAAAAGAAGTTAGATTAAGATTGCTTTTGATATATTTTCTCAGTGTGGACAATTCTTTCTTCAATTGAGAGGTGATGAGAAAAAATACAGTAAGTGAAAACATCTATAGCGAAGGTTATTCTCCTCACTAAATTATAGCTAGCTCTACTCACTTGCTTTTGAAATTCAGACTAAGGAAACTTCAGTGATTTTTATTGCACAAAATAAATTCTACTTTTGGAATTTATTCTATTTATGAATGGGAAAATGAAAGGAATGAAGAAAAAAAAGCATGAGAGGCAAAATGCTAACCCCCAACCCAAGGAAGAAAGAGTATGTATTTGAGTCCTATCCAAGTGGACCACACTGGAGTTAATCAGAATAGACCCAATGTATATATTTAGGCAGCCATACACAGAGGATAAATGAAAGGTGAAGTGTGGGGTTGATTTAAATGGGAAAGAGAAATTAGCCCCTGAAAAGAAGGGGATGGGGATGAACAGGAAACAGGAAATCCGAGGAGGAAGTCAGAGATAACTGAAGGGACAGGAAGAAAAGGGCAGGTAGATTTATGGGTACAAAATGTATGCAAAAGAATATTCAGATATAACCTTGGCTGGCAAACATCTACACGTGTGACCACATGGGCTGTCATTTTCAGAAAAATCGCTTTAAAGGAAGTGAGAAAAGACATGGAAACAGAAGGAGAAAGAGGCAATGAGAAGAGAAACCCACCAATAGACATTTGTAACACATGTCAAAACCTAGGCAAACTGATGGGGAAAGAGAAATACCCTGTGCTTTAAAGAAGTAAGACAGGCTAGGTGCCTCACTAAATTTTATTTTAAGTCAATTAATAAAAGCTGCTTGTCAAACCCTGTGTTTCCCCTATATGACAGGTTATGCAGTGAATTATCATTTTCCCTTAAAAATCATGTAAGCAACTTAAACATTAATCACAGTTTCTCAACTTAAAAACAAAACAAAGCAAAACAACAACAACAACATTCAGAAATATCACTTGAGGTTCTGTGTGGAAGGACCTTATTATTACTAGCTTTTTGCCTAGATTTGTAGTGGCTAAAAACTCATCACTGACAGAAGATAAAGAAATAAAATGTTTATAAATCTCTAGTATAACTGTATGAGATACATATCTATATATTTGATATCCTGTATGTACATGCACATACCTTGTCTCCAATATATATAAGTGCTTGTATACATAAGTGCTATATTGCCGCAGCATCTGATCAAAAATTCAGTAAATAGAAGACAAACATGGACATTCTGGAGCAATAAAGGTCAGAGTTTCACATAGTGGAACATCAACTGTTTGTCTTGAGGGAGAGGTTTGTAGGGATAGTAGTCACGGCAGATCCCTCATTATTAAAGGTACCAACCAGTCAGAGGGTGTGAGGTACAGTTTAATGTATCTGGCTGCTACATCAGTGCATTTCCTCCTACACATGGCCAGTCCTTTAATGGTCAGAATTCAAGGCTTTGGTGAAGTCTGGAGGGCATGACCTAACACCTGGAGCCCAGACAACCATCCAAACTCTACAACCCCAAGTAATGTTAGGCGAGTCAGTTCTGCCTCTCAGTCTCCAGTTCCTTTGCAATGAGGTGGGCCAGTGTTTTGGTTCTCAGTCTCTTTTCTGCCTCAATTTATTGAACATAAAGCTGGTACCCAGTCTGTTCAACAGTATTAGCAGCAGCAGCAATGATATTTGTTAGGTGCCAAGCTAAGTATTTTTCTTCAATCCTGAATTCCTGTCTCTTATCATCTCTCATTCAGAGACAAAAATATTAGCTCAAAGTAGAAACCTAGCAAGATCATACACCTGATAGGTAACATAGCCTCCATTCACTCAAGCTTACCAGTATTTAAGTGCCTGTTCTTAGTCTTTATAATAAGTAGTCTCTGGCTTCGTATTGTCATAATTCTCAAATGCAAAGGATGAAGCCACGATGCTTGGAAGAGTAATCTCTTGCAAAAGGCCACCAGGACACGTTTCAAAACCTGAGTTTGGGAATCCCCTCTCTGTCTCCCAATCCTACACTTGAATATCACAAAACTAAGTGATTTTCGGGCTTGTTTTCATTGCCAATCTAAGTTTGGGGATCCTGCTGTTGGGAAAGAACACTTCTGTTGTGATGAAAACCACTTGTGAGTGAATTCAGTAAATTTCATTGATTTTCCTATTGTTTTCTGACCGTGTACATAAACTCACTAGCTACAAGCTTCTCTTTGTCTCCTCCAATAACTCTTTGTCTTCAGAGAAGCCTCTGATCAGAAACTTCATTAAGTCGGCTCCAATTTGTCTTCTGATCATACCTCTGAGATAACATATTGAAAACGCCAGCCGGGTCACCAGTGGTGCACCTCTAATTGGGCTGTCATAGGCACCATTGCATGAATATTGCTCTAACAACAAATAACCATGTCACTGATGGCTCTGATCCAATTACAGCCTGCAAATCAAGCAATTATTGTCTTTGTATTTGGAAAATATAAGTTGACTGAGGGTCGTTCTTAGTGAGACTGGCACCCCACTTCGATGTTCTGATATCTGAAAGATGTGTCCCAGCCTTCTTCAGAATATTGGCCTTTGAGAATATTCTTCTGCAACAATTAATGGAAAGAATACATCATTGGAATCAGGCTATTACCTGGCCACATTTTTATGTATTTCTTTTCCTATCCTAGATAACAGCAGGGAAGAAAGGGAGCATCTAAAAATAGGTAGAAGCCTTCACTAAAGAAAAAGATTGGAGAGTTCTATTGGAAGCTGTTCTTAGAAGCTTGGACTATCCCTCGGGGCTAAAATTTAACTCACAGAGGGAAAAGGATGACCAAATATTTCACTAAATTGCCTGAGAAGGCATTTTGTTTTCTGTTTGTTTGTTTGGTATTTTTCATAGCATGTGGAGTATGCTTATGGTCCTGCTGTCAATAGTAATTTTAAAGCTATTTACCCTTAGTACCTCTACTTGGTAGAAATGTCTTTAGTGTATGTCTTAGTCACTGTTATAGTGCTGTGAGGAGACACTCTGACCAGGGCAACTCTTATAAAAGAAAGCATTGATTGAGGATAGCTTATAATTTCAGAGGTTTAATCTATTATCATTATTGACAGGGAGTATGGTGGCACGCACAATGCTGGAACATTAGCTGAGAGCAATAACTTTAGCTTCAGGCAGAGAGAGAGATAGGAGGAGAGGAGAAGAGATGAGAGACAGAGAAACTGGACCTAGCATGGGCTTTTGGAACCTCAAATCCCACCCTCAGTGACACACTTTCTCCAAGACCACACCTCCTAATCCTTCTAATCCTTTCAAATAGTGTCACTCTCTGGTGACTAAGTATTCAAATATATAAGCCTATGAGGCCATTCTTATTCAAATAACTACAATGTGTGTCATAGCTTCAATTGTCAATGTGACACAGATATAGTCACTTGGGAAAAATGGAGCCTCAGCTGAAGAATTGTTCAGATCACACTGGCCTATGAACATGTCTGTGAGGCATTTACTTAATTTTTAATTGATGTAGGAGGGCCCAGCCCACTGTGGGAAACATAGTTGGGCAAGTCAGAGGGAACAAGCCAGTAAGCTGTGTTTCTCCTAGGTTCTGATTCAATTTTCTGCCTTGAACTTTCCTCCACCGTGGACTGTTACCTGTAATATGAGTTACCTGTAATCTTTCCTGAGTTGCTTTTGATTATGTTTATCCCAGGAATAGAAAGCAAATTAGAAAAGTACATAAAGGATTGCACCTGAGCCGCAACCTCCTCCTTGTTCCTCAGTTCTATTGGTAGTTTTCTTTTGTCTTCTTGTCTTCTCTCTCATTCCATCCCTGTGTCATGCTAGGATGCATTTCATTATCTTACATCATTGCTTAAACACCCCGGTGAAAGCATGGAGTGGAAGAGGGGAAAGAATAAAGAATAAACAGCATAAAATGACAGGAGAGCCCCAGAAGAGCAGCAGACCACAGCTACATGTTTTATGGTCCCAAATCCTGCCACTAACATCCCAACAAGCTCATAAAGATGTAAGGGTTTCATATTCCTCAAAAAACAGGCATTTCCCAAATAAGTATGTTTTAGTTTGGCTCATATATGGCTCCCAAAGTTGTGTGGAGGTAAATTTTAAGGGGTAGAGTCTAATAGAAACAAGCAGGTCATTGGAGGGATGTTGCCCTGAAGGGAATGTTGGCACCTCATCCTTTCCAATTGCTTCTTGGCTGTCATTGAGTAGTTCTATTCATAGCCACCCTCTGCCAGGTATACTAGCATAGACCCAGAAGTAATAAGGCCAAGTAATGTGGACTGGAACCTCTTAAATTATCAGCTCAAATGAACCTCTGCTTCTCTCTTTAAAACTTTTAATTTAGAAGTATTTTTATGCCACGTTTCACTCATATAGGCTAGACTTGGAGCCAAGCTAGAAGAGTTGGTTCTTTCCTTCTACCATGTGTGTCCCAGGTATCAAACCTAGGTTGTCAGACTTGGTGTCCAGTGCTTTACCTGACGAGGCATCTCACTAGCCCAACCCATTCCTTATAAGCTGATTGTCATAGATGTTTTGTCACAGCAACAGAAATATTACTAACACAAGATTTAATTTCAAAGAATAAACGAGAGAGCAAAACCTCGAATTTGGGGACTGGGGAGAAATTTCTTGGTAAAGTACCTGACCTTGCAAGCATGAGGACTGACTCCAATCCTTAAAACCAACATTTCAAAAGAAACACCAACCAACCACCCACCCAAGACAGAAGAAAAAAACCCAACCAAACCAAAACAACAAACAAAACAAAAAATTCAAAACAACAAATCCCAGGGGTGGTGGCCAATGCTTGGAATCCCAGTACTGGGAAGATGGGAACTGGTAGGCAGATTCCTGAAACTCATCCACCAGGCAGGTTGGTAAGCTGGTGAGAGGCCCTGTCTGAAAGGCAGACAGCTCCTGAGGAATGACAATACTGTCCTCTGCCTTCTACATTGCTCACACACACAAATGCATACTATACACACCCACGCTCGCGCACGCTCACACACACACACACACCCTATATTATGTGCCTTATAAGCATATTCCCTACTTTTCACAATTTTTAAACATTTGTGTTTTGGTTTTTTTTGAGACAGGTCTCATGTAGCTAAGTCTGGCCTTAAACCTGCTAAATGGCTAAGGGCAGTTTGGAAATCCTTGTCCTCTTACCTCTACTTCTGGAGTGTCGGTTAATACAGGCATGCACCACCAGACCTTACAGTGTTTCAGGACTTTGGTCCTTTCACACGGTGGGGCACTTAGTTCCACCTCAACCCTTATTCTCTAGACATTCCCAGTTGCCAAAGAAACCCTTGTCTCCTTCCTCACCCAAGAGTTCTCCCACTTCAGATTCTTAATTCTAGAGTTCCTACCCTAGCTCAAATTTAGTTCTTGTCATTTGTTCCTTTCCTCCCAAGTCATCTACTAATGCCTACAACCTGTGAACTTTTAAACTCCATCATCAGATGCACTGTAAAGTGGGTGGGAGTCCCGACTCAGTGGTCAGGACTGCCGCTCTTATAGTTGTTTTTGTGAATATATGTTAACATAAAACTACACAAAGGCTTATCTTTGCCATTTCATTAATATCATTATCTCAGGCACTTTATTGCTATTTTTACAACATAGCAAAAGTTCAACTAATATATACTCATGATGTACCTTCCGAGTTATAAACCTTACAACTGATTAATATGTTGGTCACCATTTAAGTTTTTGGAGAAACATAAAATAAGAAGCTTAAGCTATTGTTTTGAGGAATCACCCTGTTTTTTCCCCCTAACAGGAACTCAAGTTGTACTCCATGAAAAACATCAAATTTTGCAGGAGGTTAGTGAATTGTTTTCAGTCTAAATCTAAGCAGCAGGCCAACATAATTGGCAGGTAGAAAGAACACCATTTAAAAGTATGTTTCTTCAGAATAAGACTGTCGTCTTATCTCTGTCTTTTCACACCTAGCTCTGCTGGCTCCTGGCACAGTGTCAGATTTCAATAAAAGGTGACACATCTTGTTTTAAATAAACAGAGTGCTCTTGGTGAATACGCCTATCGAAGTAAATATTCCTAACTGAACTAAGTTATTTATATAAAACTCAGTCTTCCTTCCTTCCAAATCCTTTCCTTTGTTGCTTATTTATATAGAGTGCAATTAAAGGTTGGCGAATGGCTGTTGCAGATGATGGAATATTGGTTGGGTGCCCAGATTAGGAGGGGAGATTCACACCCTGTCTTATTCTTATCACACTATCTTTGGATAAGGCAGTCAAGAATCATTTTGAAGCTTTTGTATTTAGCCTGTCACTTTGTTTATTATTTGTCTAGAGTCTTCTATGGCTGATAAAAGGAGGCAGAGTCCTGGAGGGAGTTCTTTGAGGCGAGGCCCCTTTCCCATTCACCTTCATGCCCCTTGTTAACACCCTTCCATCTAGTTAAGAGGGAAGGAAATGACTACCCTTTATTGAATATCTGCTAAATCAGGCACTTATGGGCACACAGAACATGTGATCCTACTCAATTAACGCAACAATCACAAGACACAAATTGCTCTTAATTTAGAATTGAGAAAACTGAAGAATGCCAGCCTTACAGGAAATTGCCATAATCATATAGTCACAGGCATCACCACCACACACACAAAACTGTGGGCACAGTGGCCAGTTCTGCTTATCCACTCAGTGAGCAACGGTTCTAAAGCCTGTTCTCTCAAGTCCCTCATTCTTTACCCCATCACGGGCTGCATCCCCAACAAATGTGCTTAATTTACAGCAACAAGGGTCTGGAGACATTTTGATGAAAGCACATTGGGCTTCATATCTGAGTATGCATATTTATGTATACTTATACTAATTATATTTATAGCTTGCTTTTTTTCATAGTGATTCAATGAAGTTATGTGTTCACTTCAGTCAAGAGCTCAGAGGGTCTCAAGAGATTCTGGATGGTGAGTTCTTTCATTTAAGCTGTCTCATCATCCATATTTTAGAGGAATATTTGGGACTGGAGGAATCAGCGGATAAAACCAAGAAGGACCTACAAGAGCAATGATCCAGAACCTAAGTGACAGAAGTAGAGAACGAGCTCTCACAGCTGTCCTCTGGCCTTCATTCGAGTGGCATAGATGCTCTGTGTCATGTACATACCCACACACAAAGTAAAATACCATGTAAGAAAAAAAGTAAGGGAAGTGACTGATAAGACACTGAGGGTTACTGGAGGAGGAATGGAGACAAGACCGACTTTTTCTCTGAGCTACGAAGAATGGAAGTGAGCGTGTGAAGAGGCTTGTGAGTTCAGACCCCCCAAAACATTATTTGCTCTCATGCTCACATGAGCTTTGTTATAACCTTAGCAAATCACGTGCAATCTCGTCAGAAAGCAAAATCCCCCTTTTCCTTAGAGCAGTGGTTCTCAGCTTTGCCAAGGTTGTGACCTTTGAATACAGTTCCTCGTGCTGTGGTAACCACCAACCACAAAATTATTTCATTGCTACTTCATAACTGTAATTTTGCTGCTGTTATAAATCGTAATGTAAATATCTGACATGTAGGATGTTTGACATGTGATGCCTCCTCTCCCCCCACGAAGGGTTGAGAAACACTTCATTTACCAGGATGAACAGAATCATCTCCTGAAGCCTTGAGAAAATCGTGCGGTCACCTCAGATCTGTCTACCCTCCTCTTCCTTTTTCCTTAGAAAGGCCTATTTCATCTAGACTTTGTTGAGTAAGCTTGTGATCCCCCTGCCTCAGCTTCCTAAATGCTATGATTACACGACTGGGCACTACATCCAGCATTTGTGTGCAGGTAAGACACAGGTTAAAGCAAGCGCTGTGAGAAAGTCACTGAAGAGAGAATGAGCTCCAGGAAAGGTCTGTACTTTATGTATATGCAAAGCTTGCTGCCTTATATTTCCCACGTTCCCACTCACTCTGGTGACTGTTGGCTTGTCCTTCTGTCTGCTTCATCGCCCTCTTCTCCCTGCCTTACAAGCCTCCTCAGTGCTCTCTTTCCTCCGATGCTGGAAGTCCTTCTCCGATTGCCCTCAGCTGCCCACCCCCATCTGTCAAGCCTTAAGGTTGTTTGTGTACACACTTTATCCATTCTGCTTAGTGCCGTGTGTATAAAGTGAGGAGGATGTATTTTGATTTCTCTCTCTTGTATTTCATGATCTCCTGTTTCAGGGGGAAAAATCTATCAGATTAATTTAATTCCCATTTTACAAAAGGCAGAGCAAACCTAATTGCAATTAAGTAATAGAACTTCAAAGATTTAGAAGTTAGGTTCACAACATACATCCTGTGATTCCTCACACATATATTTTTTTCCTCCACAGCAAGCAATCTCTTGCAAAATCTTCAGCTGTCTGAGATGTGCCAGTGGAAAAAGGCCCGTGCTCTGACACACCGCACTTCCAAACATGCTTGGTCACTCTTTTCTTTTGTAGAAGACATTTATGTTGTCATTTGTCCATGCCATGGCCATCTTCTTCAGTCTGGATACCAATGTGCCTAATTAGGGATCTGGCTGCTCCTTGCACACATTTTTTTTTGTTGTTGTTGGTTAACAGTACACAGAAATTTTGCTAAAGTGGACACACTTAAGATATACTTAAGTAGATCTTATTAAGTGTATTGCACATGGGCATATTTTTAAAAGCAATGTACTGAAGGCCATTGTGTACATACATATCTATAAATTTGTAAAGGAGGATAAAATGGATTTGATTCACAAATGAAAAAATGGTGCCTAATTACTCCCAGACTAAATTGTGTAGACCATTTAACTCTTCTAGTTTTTGCTATCCTTGTTCTTCATTTTCAAATTGGTAACTGGGGGTCATTAAAATTAGTACACATACAGAGAATATTTTCAGTTTAATAACATGCTCACAACAGGGAAGACAATTCATTCACTGGGTTAAGAAGTGAGGGGGCATTTTTAAACTGTTCTGATATTAAGAAAAATGACATTATAGTCCTACATATCTATGGCATCTAAAAACAAAGCTTGCCTTCAAATAACATCTCATTTGGATACATACCTTGCCAGGTAAAAGCCTGTAGTGTAATAGCAATGAGGCTTATTTAGTTCACAGACATCTCTTCAGTTTTTACCTTTTCCTCTGTAGCAAATAGGCAGGACATAGTATTTATCTCCTTCCAAGAAAATGTAAAAAAAATGGCTAAACTGTAGTTAGCCTTTCCTTTCATATCTAACTGACAGAGTTGAAGCTGAAGTTTAAAGGAAAAGTCCCATTGTTAACTAATATTTTCCTTGTAATAACTTGGTCTTTTATTTATACATATTTTTTTTTGGTTTTTACGAGACAGGGTTTCTCTGTATTGTTTCGGAGGCTATCCGTCCAGCCCGGCCTCGAACTCACAGAGATCCGCCTGCCTCTGCCTCCCGAGTGCTGGGATTAAAGGCGTGCGCCACCACCTCCCGGCTTATTTATACATATTTTTAACGATTTAAAAAATGTGTATATGTGTGCCTGTGTTTATGTATTTATACCATGTACACAAAGATGCTCATGGGGGCCAGAAGTGGGCATCAGGTCTCCTGGAACTGGAGTCACAAGTGATTGTGAGCAGCCTGACTTATGTGTTGCGAACCAGACCCAGGTCTTCTGTAAGAAAAGCAAATATTTTTAATGTCTGATCATCTTTCCAGCCCCAATATAACTTTAGTTTTAGTGGTTTTAACAATGAGTCTATTTTTTCCTTTATATTGTTCAAATTTTTGTCTTACATGACACATTTTATCAGCCAAAAGCCTCTAGTACTGACGTGGAAGCCCCTGAGTGTTTCACATTTTCTTTGATCCTTTCATTCTGGCTTCTAATTATTATGGAAGCTGACACAAGACGAGTCTTCATGAACTACATTGGAGAGGACAAGAACGCTGGTGGAAAATGGATCACTATAGTTCAGTGAGATGATACCATTTAACAGTAGTTGTGTAGGAACTTTGTGACGGTGGGCACACACACACATCCAGCAAACTAGAATTCACAGACAGCAAAAACACATATGACTATTTGAAGCCAATCGGCTACATTTATTTTATACTGAGCCAAGCAGAAAATGACTCTAAAGACGAGTTATTTCCTGTTTTGAGGAACCAAAAAGGCAGTAAAGATAGTTGAAAAGAGAGAGACAGATTGTGGTCAAGTTCTCAATGGGTCCAGCGACAGCACGTTCTCTCTGGGATATGATTTGTGGTTCCTCAGGAAGGATGGTTGGCCTAGACAGAAGCCACTGGACGAATTCCTCTAACTTGGTAGCACTGAGGAAAAACCTCCATTTTCCTCCATGAACAAAAGTGAGTTTGATCCATGTACTGAAGTCAGGGTAAATATAAATATTTGACCTTACCTTTTTGCAACTCATGGATGAATTCTGGAAGTTGTTATTTTTCTTCAGAGTCTTAATTTGAGGAGACATTGTTTTTTCTTTAATCTGACCAGTGGGTTGCGTTTGACTAGGTACCCTTCCTGATTCTGCTGAAGAGCTTTCAGTGTCTGTGTCCTTTGGAATGTCTGGTTGCAGGAGCTTATGGATAAGTTGTACAATTTCTTTACCCCTTTGTCCCTCCAGAACCTCTAGGCAGCGTATGCTGGAGTGAGAATTCTGGCTTTCCAGCTCCATCACCTTCTTCTTCAGAGTGCTGATTTCTTCTCTCATAGAGAGGATATCTTTGGTGGCTACAATTTGTCTGTCTTCGCTAATATTTATTCTGGTTTCTAGGACTTCCATCTGCTTCTGATAATGGTCAGTCTTTTCCTGGATATGTGATATTGCACTGACAATGTCAGTCATTTGGCTGAGGAGTTCCGTTTGTCCCCCTTTAATGTCTTGGAGCATTGTTGTTAGATTCATTTCTTCATTCAAACTGAGAGTATCTTGGTCACAGTCGTAAGAATCCGTAGCTGGGTAGCTAGTTGAGTACGAGCACTGGGTCTTACATTTCTGGTAAACATTTTTAAGAGATCGTCTGATCTTGTAGAGATTTGAAGTCAACACATGTTCAGCAGCAGCCTTTACTCTTTTGGTGTGAAATCGGTACATTTTTTCACTGAGATACAAGACAGGAAGCGATGGGAAGCATGACAGGAATCAAGGGAAGAAATGATCTTTTTTTTTTTTTCTGTGAGATGGCCTTTCTCTTCCTATTTGATGGGTTCTTTCCTGGTCACATCATTGAATATCCCATGGAAAACATCAAAGGCAGCAACAGGCAGAGTTAAGTGGTCTTCCACAGCAGCCTAACTGCAGAGCTTTGTGAACTAACAGTCCACAGCGTGATCCTTCCTGTGGTCCTCATCTGATGCTGATGTCACAATGGCCACTGGCCTAGAACACAGATAAGTGTGACCACTGGCCTAGAATATAGATAAGTGCACCACAGCAGGAGGTATCAACATTTTTGTCACAGAATGGAATTTTTTTTTCACTTGTGAAAAATGATAGAGGACTACAAAGCTTTTGCTTATGTGAGTTATACTAATTTGTATTCCATATTATAAATCAATAAAGTCTTAAAATCTTAGTTTAAAGGCTTATTACATGTAACACAAATTACATATGTTTTATAGAAATAATCACTTTTTTTATTTTTAAGGCAGGGTCTCACGTGTCCCAGTCTGGTTTCATACTATGTAGCTGAGAAAGACTTGAACATCTGATCTTCCTGCCACCACCTACCAAGTGTTAGTCACACTGGTAGCACCTACCTAATTTCTGTAGTACTAGGAATCAAACCCAGGCCTCTGAGAATTCTAAACAATTGCCCTGCCTCCTAATCCCTAATTCTACAGGAAAGAATGTACATATTGCTTTACATATGTGTAAATGTTCAGATTGCCTAAAGGCCAGACATACATTCAGAAGGCAGAGACAGGAGGATCTCTGTGAGTTTGTGGCAAGCCTACAATCTACATATCATGTTCCAAGACAGCCGGGACTAAACAAACAACACCCCCCCACACACACAAAAATGAACCAAAATGAATCTATATATCATGTTCCAGTATAGCTGGGACTAAACAAACAAACCCACAAAATGAGCCAAAATTATTTAATTATTAATTAAATAAAATTCCCAGATTGACAGAAGACACTTCCATTCTTATATATGTGTCTACATTTGTGAGGTGCTTTGGTTAAAATGTTGGAAGAAGGTATGGCCTTGTAGGGAATCTGTTGTTTGAAGAAAATTTTAACAGTATTTTTCAGATAACTGGCAGCATCATTCTTGCTTATCCTACTAAAACTGGACAAATGGCAATTGTTTTAGAAGTTGTTTACCATGTGTAATCTTAGACCACATCAATGAATTTCATACTCTTATTACATTAAAATTCATTGTCTTATCTTTGATCTTGAATTGATGTCCGATAACCAGCACTGGCCATGAGAAAAGTAGTTAGCTGAATTATGCAGATTTTACAAGTATTGATTTGTTTTATTATATGATATCAAAATGTCATGGGGCTGGGTAGATGGTTTGGTGGAAAAGAGTGTTTTCCAGCCCTGAGGATAACCATGGGAACCTGAGTTTGATTCCCTAGCATCCATGTGAAAAAGTCAACCATGATTGTTGTAATTTAAAAAATGCCATGAAGAGAAGCCATGCCATGCAACAAGGCTCACATAGGACGTTTATTTGAAGAGAAGAGAGAAGGGACAGAGAAAGGGACAGGGTGGGTACAAGAGTGGTAGAAGAAAAATAGAGAGGAGAGAGAGAGAGAGAGAGAGAGAGAGAGAGAGAGAGAGAGAGAGAGAGAGAGAGAGAGAGAGAGAGAGAGAGAAGGAGGGAGAGAAAAGGGAAGAGATGGGAGGTGGGTAAGGCCCACCTTTTAAAAAGGAACATAGAAAATGTGCACAGTAGGTGCTCTTAATGGCTGCCCCTGAGGACATATCCTGCCAGGACTCCAAGGGCAGGCCAGTACATATGCCTGAATACTAACAATGATCATGTGGTAGCTCCAGGTTGAGGGAACAAGAGGCAGGTGGATCCTAAGAGCTTGGTAGCCAGCCATCCTAGCCTAAACGCAGAACTTTAGAACAGTGAGAGACCCTGTCTCAAGGGAATAAGCAGAGAGTTACTGAGGGTAGAGGAGATACTCAGTGGGGACCTCTTGCTTGTGTGCATTTACCTCCTCTCTCTCTCTCTCTCTCTCTCTCTCTCTCTCTCTCTCTCTCTCTCTCTCTCTCTCTCTCTCTCTGTCTCTGTCTGTCTGTCTCGTATACACACACACATACACACACACACACACACACACACACACACACACACACACACACTTCACATTCATTAATGCCACCTCCAGTCTCACTAGGAGAGCCCTTTAGGACTGTGAAACGTTGTGGTAAATGCAAATCTTCCCAAATTGTAATTTTAGCTTAAAAGCTTACAACTTAACCAAGTTTGCTCTTTTCATTGAAGCAATAGATTTCTCAGATCCCTTTTTAGTAAAAATGGATTACCAAATACCCCAAACTGTGGATACCATAATTTGTTGCCAGTCTTGGCATTTCCTTAGTAAAGGGACTTGTTTGGTCTGTAACTCAGAATTTTCTCTAAACTTTGGGAGACAGCAGAACACTCCAACTTTACTTCCACACTGTGCACAATATAAAGGGTTGTGATTTAATAAGATTTTTGTTGCTACTTCATCAGGAATTTTTTTGAGTGACATTATTTTTTCTCCCTTTTTCCCCCTTTTACCTGGGAGGTGGTACAGAATGCATTCATTATTGGTTCTTTCTGATTTTACAGCCTTGGTATGTCCTGAGGGACAGCCAGCTTAATCCACCACTGCATTGCGATGCATTTTCAAAATGCAAGTCACAAAGGCACGTGGTGCCTTAGTTATTTTAAAGCATCTCTGCTCTTAAGGTTCACCATCTGCCACACTTGGAGAACTATTGCCTCTGAGGGTAAAAGCAGTCTTGGAAACCTACATCTTTAGGAATATTAAATAATACTTCGTCCATCTGATTCATTGAGGTAAAATTTTTATTCTTTGAACATTTAAGACTTGAACACTTTTGGAATCAAAATGATACACTATCTAATACTTGTATGTCTCTTGAGAAGCAATTCACTTGAGGGTATTAAAAATAGTTGTCAGTTACAACCTGCTACGATGTCACCATTTCTCCCATTTGTGCCAAATTGCAGGGTCGGTCTTGGCACAGGTTTTGGTATAAACTCTGAACTTAGCCAAGAGTGGTTTAAGAATTTTGGCTCACTGACAGTACCTGGAGTTTTACCTCAACTCTATCTTTCTAAAATGACTAGTCACCTTTCCAGACTCTTGCTGGGAAAAGAAAATGTTCTCTTGGAAACAGTCTATGATGGGCATGGGAACTGAAGCCGGAAAGATTAGGGTCAGAATGGTCCTATTTACTTTGGCCAAGGGCATTCTATCTACCAGCTTCCACAGGAGCAGTGCTTAGGAGCGGTTGAGGATTTCTGGGGCCAACACCGACATCTGCGACCAGAGAGGAAAACAAACAAACTATAGGCTCAGAATACTAAATGAAAGCTGCAACACTGAGCAGCAAATGCTTAATTTGATGTCTCTGAATTGTAACATATCATCTTCATTAATTGTCAAACTTATTATTAATATTGAATATGTTTGGAGCAGGTTTGTAGATAATGAACTTGCACATTTCAGGAATTCTCACATTAGAGTGACTGCTTGTGGCCATTACTCCTGCAAGTATCAGCCAAGACTCACTCAGTGCCTCCCAGACAGAGTACACGGATTACTTGTTTCAGTGACAGAACACCTGACGAAAGGGAATTAAGGCTGGATTATTTGGGCTCAGAGTTTGAGGGTCAGATCACCGTGGTGGGGAAGGCATGGCCAGGGAAGCATGGGCCAGTGGTCACGTTGCATCCAGTACTCAGACAGCAGAGACATACAAATATGGGCTCAGCTTCACATGGTGCTGAGCTTCCTTTCTGCTTTTTGTTCCATACAGAGCTGCAGCCCCAGGGATGGTCCCACCCACGTTTAAGTGGGTTTTCCCCACTTCCACCATCCCAGTCTAGAAACCTCCAGACATGCCTGAAGGTTTGCGTCCTAGGTAATTCTAAATCTTGTCAAGCTGACAGAGTTAACCATACCACATGATTGCAAACATTACCTATTTATGTGAAGTACAGAGAGGTTGGGATACTTCCCTGTGGTGACACAGCTAAAAAAAATGGGAAGTGAGACTTCACATCATCCCAGTCTGGCTCTGGGCATCATGTGTTTGGTCTCTACTGCCACACGGTCATGATAGAAAATGCATGTATTTGTCACAACTCAGGAGAAGATAGGCATCTCTTTTTCTTTTAATCACACTATAAACAAAACTACTTGTTATTAAAATTTTATTTACTTAACAATATGAGAACACTAAAGCTTTATCAGAGAGCTTTCTTATTTGATAAGAAATATTTATCAAAGATGTTTGAAGCAGAAATTTGTAAAGATTTTAGAAGCCGGATTAATTCTCACTCGTAAGTAAATGAGCTAAGAACACTGGGGAGGTATCAAATTTTTGACAAAAAATATTCATGGATTCTGATTACTTTTTAAGACATTAATCTAACAGGTTTCATACAAACATATCTAGATGTAGTTGATGCATATTAGTGTTCCCAAAGGGAGTCCAGATTTGGGGCCTGTTAGGCAGGGAGAGGTAGTCCTAGGAGGTCCTGACTATGTGGTCTTGGTGAAGCTGGAGGGACCAACAGGTGAATGGAAAACGACTGTGGGCTGACTTCTTTTCTAAGGGTTCCCGCCAGGGATATACAGGCATCTCAGAATGGGGTAGCGCTGAACCCTGTGGGAAGTTTTCTGCTTGAAAAGAGTCTGATTTTTCACAGCAATGATGTTTGGAGCCAGAACAGTTGGAATCCCATTGGATTCAAGGCCATCCCATTGCTAACTATGCTCATAGACAAGTGACTGCCTTCCTCCATTAAGTGTATAAAAAGGGATAATAAAACTATCTATTTATAGATTGGAAACTTGAGTGTTCAATGAAAGCGTGACATTTCCCCCTCCTCTCTTAGTATCTTCTCACCTTCCTTCCTCCAAATGAAAGGAGAAAACGGTCAAGGGTTTGAAGTTTTGGCCCAGGTGACTCCCTCGGTTTCCAGTTTTGCTGTTCATTCTCTCCTTCTGTGACAGAGTGCGGGTGAGTGCATTGCTCACTCAATGCAGCTAGTGGTTGGAAGGCTTTGGTGAGAAGGACCTGGGCAGGCAGACAAACCCACAGCCTGCCTCTTCATACACAGGGCCTCTCAC